CTATCGTCCTTATCTCCCCTTCTTCTTTTTTATGTTTGTTTCTCTCTTGTAACACTTCTAATCTTCTGGCGCTCATATGACCTTATGCAGTTGCGAGTTCCGCAAAGCCTCTACTGAGACTAAAAATAGACTTGTTTTCCCGAGATTTCATGGGCTATTTGGATGCTTCTGACTTTGTTAGAAAAAATAAGTATTATTTGCCTTTCAGTGCCTGCTTATGATGACTCAACAGCATTGAAAGGGATGGTGAACCTTGCCTTATACCTTTAAGTAATACTGTCTTTTTTACATGTAGTTAAGGACCCCTCAACTTGAATTTTCTGCAGTTGTGTATTACTTATCGGATTGTCAGAATGTCATGGTTTTTGTTGAGATAAATTATACCAGCTTTTGTATAATGCATACCCCCGCTCAACAGCATGCTCTATGCATTTTACAATCTGTATTTAATTGCCCCAGCAGTACCTAGAACACCGAGAAACATTCTCGGCTTCCTAGGAAGCTTACAGTCCAAGCAGCTGATTTAGTGCTCAAACATTAGTAAACTGACATCTTTCACTGTCGAAAGGCGAACACCTATTGCTACCTGAATGAAGTGAGAAAAATAAATGTGAAGTGGCTTTTCCAAGGACACGACACCGGGCCCCTGACGAGGTTTGTGAGCACCACGAGACCACTAAATGAGCAATAGCGTGATGTTATGCTTCAGTGGGTGGTTGGCGGGCACTCTGGTGTGGTTTGCTCCTTCTTTCCTCTCAAACATCTATCGTCCTTATCTCCCCTTCTTTTTTTAAATATTTGTTACTCTCTTGTAACACCTCTAATCTTCTGGCGCTCATTTGACCTTATGCAGTTGCGAGCGCCGTAAAACCTCTACTAAAACTAAACTAAACTCAAACATATATCGTCCTCATCTTTCCTTCTTTTTTGTGTTTGTTACTCTCTTGTAACCCCACAATCTTTGACACTTATACGACCTGATTTTTTGTAACAAGGTGCTGTAAAATGCTTACTGAAACATAAAATAAACTTGCTTCACTTAAATGAAACAAACCTTTGTGTTGTCCCCAGTCTGTCCTGAAGAATCCCGTGCCCAACGCTGATCTACACCAGTCCCTTTTCCTGTCTCTGGGTGCGATGGTCCATTCCTTTTGTCAAGTGAAAGAGCAGTGCAGCGATCCGGTAAGTTTCTCAAGTCTATCTTAGAATATCTCACAAAGCCTGGTTTTGCGGGTTGAGGGATTCTAATCTTTGCTTTCTATTCTTCTAAGATTTTTTTTTTTTGGGGGGGGGTTTTTTTTTTTTTTGTTTGGGTTTTTTTTGTCTTTCACATGTCCTGAATTGATACGGGATATTTGTCAGTTTCATAGAAAATTTGCCAACATGATAGTATTTGTTATGCTTCAAGAAAGAAGAAGAAAAGAGCCATGAACCCTGTTGTAATACCAGTAAGGACTTCTGTGGAGAAATAACGAGTTTAGTGCTATCTACTACCAACCGCTGTTTTTCCAGTTTGATTTTAATCACTGTGAAAGCACTGAATTCCAGACACGAAAATGGGAGCTAGTACAAAATGAAACTGAAATTCTAGAGAACACATGCATTTACCTGAATAATTTGGTGCTGAAGGAAAGATGTTTCTACAGCCTTTATAGCTTTGACAGGGACTTTAAATAATCGGAAACTGGAGTTAATGCAAGAAGCCACTGAACTCACAAAAATCTCATTGCAAGACTGTGATCTGTCTCTCTCTCTGTCTCTCTCTCTGTCTCTCTCTCTCTCTCTCTCTCTCTCTCTCTCTCTCTCTCTCTCTCTCTCTCTCTCTCTCTCTCTCTCTCTCTCTCTCCTCTCTCTCTCTCTCAGTCATCAAGGAAGACAGAATAATAAATTATCATCATTGTGCGGACGAAATTGTCTGTACTCTAACAAACAAATGTTTTAGATCGTGGACGAGTTCCCCTCTCTCTCTCTCTCTCTCTCTCTCTCTCTCTCTCTCTCTCTCTCTCCCTCCCTCCCTCCCTTCCTATCTCCCTCCCTCTCTCTCTCTCTCTCTCTCTCTCTCTCTCTCTCTCTCTCTGTCTCTCTCTCTCTCTCTCTCTCTCTCTCTCTCTCTCTCTCTCTCCCTCTCTCCGATCACAGTGCTGCCACCATTTTTGTAGAAATCATCAAGGAAGACAAAATAATAAATTATCATCATTGTGTGGATGAGCTTATCTTTGACGCACAAATATTTCAGATCGTGGACGAGTTCCCCCTCTCTCTCTCTCTCTCTCTCCCTCTCTCCCTCTCTCCCTCTCTCCCTCTCTCCCTCTCTCCCTCCCTCCTTCCCTCTCTCCCTCCCTCTTCCTCTGCCTCCCTCCCTCTCACTCCCTCACTCCCTCCCTCTCACTGTCACTCTCCCCCCTTTCTCTCTCTCTCTCTCTCTCCTTTCTCTCTCTCTTTCTCTCCTTTTTACTCAAACAAACAAACAAAATATGTTTCAGATCGTGGACGAGTTCCGTCAGCTGGTCATCGAGGGTCTGTCGGCGTGCACGGAGGAGCCCTGTAAGTTGATGTACCTGAGAGCCATGGGCAACGCTGGACTCCCCGCCTCTGTGCCCATCATCCTGCCCTTTGCCGAGTCTACATCCAGCGCCATGCTGGCTTCCACTGCCATCTCGGCATTCCGCCGAATTCACAAGAGGTTTTTGGGGCAGCAGGTGTGTACAGACCGGGGTTTTTGGTTTTATTGTGGGTGGGGTAATTATTATGTTTATTTTTTCTAAACATGTTATTTATTTTTTTAAAGTTATTTACAAAAGATTTTTGCGGAGGCAGGTGTATACAACTGTTTTATTAATCTCGTTTTAAATTTTTAAATCTCTGTTTGTTCCTTTTGTCACCTTTCTTTCTGTCTACTATGTCTGGTTTCTTGTTGTAATCATTTTTGTTTTATGACAGTCTGGCACGCACATAGCGAATTTGACAAGACGCAAAAATCTTTTCATTATGTACCAATTTTGACATGTTAAAGGTGTTCTAAGTACAAATAATATACATGTATAAGAAAAAAATTCGGGATTTGAAATCTCTTACCTATGTGCTTATTCGCTTTATTTTAAATAGCCTCTTGCTTTGCACTGTGACCTTTTAGGTGGTGATTTAGTCAGAGGGTAGTGAGTGGGGGGAATAAACTAAGCGATTGTACTTGAGCAGAAAGTGCTACTTTCCTTCTGCTGGTATAAAACCCAAATTACACTTGTGGCATTCACTTTGATGTATTGTCCATCTGTTCTGTCCATCCTTTTTTATTGAAAACACTGGGCCATGCCTCGCCTTTGATATTATCTATTTATATTTAGTAGGGTGTTTAGCTTCCTTGAGAATAACCTACTTGTGTGAAAAATAACTTTATGATTCACAGTCTTCTTCTTTCCCGCCTTCTTTCCTGTCCTTATCAGTATCCTCTGGGCTTACTGTTCTTCTTTCTTTTGGAATTCTGAGAACTCTTAACGTTGGCGACCGTAGGAAGTCACTTGTGTGTTCTGTGTCTTTATTTTCTGTAGTATGCTTTTGTTTAGCTTTTCTTTTCCTAAGAGCACTTAATGACCATTGATGTGGAAATATTTTTTATTTGGAATAAAGAAAAGAAAACAACAGCATGAGCTCAGACAGAAAAAACAAAGTACCAAAATTATCACGAATTGTGTCCCCTCTTTTGTCAAATCATGTGAGTTAAAATAGCCTCATTTTTCTCTACATTCTGTCAACCCCCCAGGGCAGTGCCACTGACTGTAGTGTCTTTAGGCAATTCCCAAAGGGGGGACATTTCTCGTTCAAGCACAGTAGAATTGTAAATGGGCTGGTTCATCATGTCACACTCATAACCGTGCCTGATCTACAACAGAGAACTGCTGCTTTTTCTTTCCAAATCCTTACTATCGTCATTTTTCCTCTACTTCTTTTGTATGTGTGTCACTCTCTTGTGAACTGCTATTTCCGGGGTGCCTTTATAGTCGAAGCAGACCTTGTGCTGTTGAAGCTAGAGAGGTAAACAGAGTAAGTTTGATTCCCTGTAAAGGCTTCTCTGTTGACACCCACCCCTTGGCGCTCATATGACCTTATGCAGTTGCGAGTGTCGTAAAACCCTCTACTAAATTAAAAACAAAAACCACTCTGTCGTGATGCCCCAGGTGAGAGATGCCCTGGCGAGGGTGTACCATCAGAACAAAGCCAGCTACGACAGCACGGTGAGGATCGCGGCCCTGGAGGTGTTGCTGGAGCTGGAGCCCTCTGCCCCGCTGGTCCGGAACGTCCTGCTGTCTTGTCTGGAGCAAGGCAACCCCGAGTTCTCCACCTACGTCGTCCGTATGTTGCTCGACGCGGCCACTGCCAATGCTCATTTGAGGTGAGGATGTTGAAATGTTTGTACGTGTGTTTTTGTGCCTGTGTGTGTGTGTGTGTGTGTGTGTGTATGCTGGAGCTCAATGGTTTTTAGGAGTAAAGTTAAACCTGTCCAAGGGGGTGATTGGCAGGTGCTCTTGTGTGGTTTGCTTCTTCTTTCCTATGAAAAAAAGATCTATCGTCGTTATCTCTCCTTCTCCTTTTCTTGTGTTTGTTGCTCTCTTATTACGTGGGTGGTTGGCGGGTGCTCTGGTGTGGTTTGCTTCTTCTTTCCTATCAAAGATCTATCGTCCTTATCTCCCCTTCTTCTTTTTTATGTTTGTTACTCTCTTGTAACACCTCTAATCTTCTGGCGCTCATATGACCTTATGCAGATGCGAGTGCTGTAAAACCTCTACTAAAACTAAAACTAAACTCTCTTATTACACCTCTAAATCTTCGGTACTTATATGACCGTATTGTGGTACAAATGCCTTAAAACTCTTACTAAAACTAAAAATGAACCTATCCAAGACAACCACCCAGTGTAAAGAAGAGTTATCCACTTTTATCTCTGTGCTGCTGTAAAGTGCTGTCACATTCTGTGCACATCTAGAGTAAATTTGGTAAGTGTCTTTCGTTTGTTTGAGGGTGTTAGTGTGCATGCACTTACTTTAAGAACATCTTGGTGTCTTTTTTTTTACCACAGAAAAGCAGAATTGAATCCCTGTTTTGACCATATTATGCTGTCTCAACCAGTACCTCTTTAAAGTGTTTGTATGTGTTCCTTCTTTCTTATCAAACATCTGTTGTCCTTAAATCGCTTCCTTCTTTTTATGTGTTTGTTACTCTCTTGTAACACATAATCTATTCTTCGGCACTTTATGAACTTATTGTGTTGCAAGTGACGTAAAACTCTTACTAAAACAAAGGGGGGTGGAGCGGTGAGTTGAGAGAGAGACTGAGTGAGAGAGAAATATGGGTATAGAACTTGTTCTTTGTTAATTAGTATGCTTTTTAAAAAATATAGCTTAAAGTCCAAAAGTTGTTTATTCATCTGAGTATTTATTGCATTGATTCTCTTTTCGTTGGTTTGTTTTATGTTTTTGTAATGAGTTTTTTTTCCCCTTCTTTTTCAAACAGGGAAGTCCTGGCCATTGTCTTGAAGGAACCATATTTCAACAACTACAACGTTTTGTCCCAGAAAGGCAAATCCAGTGTCATCACAAGTTTCCTGGCCCGTGAGTCCTTGGATTTAGTAACAAACAAATGTTTTAAAATTCCATGAGAACTAACAGAACTGAGCAAACAGTTTGAATTGAAATAAGAAGATTGTGAGCAGTTTTGTCGTATCTACAATTTTCTTGTGAAGTTGTTATTTTAGTGTGTAATTATTGATGGACTAGGGGAATAGTAACCAGGATATTTAGGTTATATAGCAAATGTCTTGATCTGTGGATCACTGTCATGCTTGAAGGACCCTCAGGTCAAAACGTATTGATCTAAGTTCTAAACAGTAGTCTGTAAAAAGTCTAATCTTATGGCTATATTAAAAATCATGGAGGTAGAGTTTTGGTGTCGGTGCCTTGTTGAACCCCAATCTTCAGTTGTTGGTGTCAACTATGTGTGAGAGGAGTGTTCAACCTTGCAATGCAATGTTCGTTAGGGTAATTTTCCCAAACTGTTGAATAGTTTCCATTACCCTTGAACTAAAAAATAATTCAAACAGCAAACTTGTATAGATTTATGTGAAGAAAATTACTGAAGGCATTCTGGTTGTATGCACTTCTCTTGAGAATAGGAATTTATTAACAAATTTTCATAGATTTTTGCGGAACCAATATAAAATATAAGTTGGTTTTGTTTTCAGTAGAACTCTAGGTCATATGAGAACAGGCGACTCATTTTGATTCACTTGACCATGTAAGGGATTAGTGTTCCAAGTAAAGAAGGAATGAACTGTATTCCATGACATTCTGTAACTTCTACTCTTTATTTTGAAGCACAATGCTTTTTCTTTCCTCGTCCTTACTATCGTCATTTTTGCCTCTACTTTTATTGTATGTTTGTCATTCTCTTGTGAACTCCTATTTGCGGAGTGCCTTGAAAGTCGAAGCAGACTTTGTGCTGTTGAGGCTAGAAAGGTGAGCAGAGTAAGCCTGATCTCCGTTTAGACTTCTCTGTTGACATCTACCCCTTGGCGCTCATATGACCGTATACAGTTGGGAGCGCCTTACTGCTAAAACTAAAGAAGCACACTGACATTTATTTTGGTGGTTAATGACGTTAATCTTTATTATCAGCTTCACCATCACAATTTGTGTGAGAAAATATTTTATTGTGTTTACTTTTTTTGTCACAGGTATGAAGGATGTAAACAGCACATACAACCTGTTCTTTGAAAATTCTCCATCTGGTGTGATGAAGCGCAGTGGCATGATTGTCAACCTTGTTGGGAAGACCATCAAGCAGCCGTTCATGAAGGTATAATTTCTCTACTCTGTATGCAGAGTAAGATTGGTTGAGTGCGCATAAAGTTATACAGGTTCCGTTTTTGAAAGATGGCAGCTGGGTCATGGAAGATAGTATGGGTTCTATGAAAGTTATAGATGGTCGTTTTACGGCACTTGTAGCACAGCAAGCTCAATAAGTGCCGAAGATTAGAGGTGTTGCAAGAGAGTAACAACCACACACACAAAAAAAATAGGAGAGCTACGGATTATAGATGTTTGATAAGAAAAAAGGAGCAAACTACACTAGAGCACCCGCCAACTGACCACTAAGAAATTGTTACTCCTAATCAATCTCATCACTGTGTTCTTACAATCCTACAGTTTGGCATCTACGCCGACGGCCTTGAGTCGCTGGTGGGAGAGGCGGCTTCTGAAGGCGAGGATGACAACTCAGAAGCAAGTTCAGAAGGTTCCGAGCCCACCGCTGGAATGTCCTTCTATTTCATGGATGTTCTGTTGACTCAGGTGGAATTTTTCCGCGGCACATCAGGTCTCATGTCTGCTGCATGGAATGCCCCTTCGGAACTGACGTCTGCTCTTCAGGTGAGGACGATCTTGTTGCGTGTTCAGTATTTTAAGATAAAATTAAATAAAATATACCTTATATGTCCTTCATTTGAAGAAATTGAATATAATGAATTCATAGTATCATACTAGAACCAGCACACTGTATAGAATATCACAGCACCTTCGGCAAACCTGCACTTATCACTATACGTGTCATTGAACAGATGGGCAAGAGCCCAGCTATTGCTGGATCGATTACAACAACAATATACTAACAAATGTAAAGACATATTAAGAAACTATGCACATGCGGTCACAATGTAAGCTTTCCAGGTCTCTTGTGGAATCTATAATATGTGTTACGACATGGTGGAATCAGGCGCTCGTCAATTTTGGGGCATATTGAGTTATTGGTATCATCTTGAAGCCTGTTCATTTGCCTTTCTTTCGATGGAAACAATATCTATTTATCTTGGATACAAGTCAAGATATTGGCGATGAAGGAGGTGGAGGTCACCTGGATTCAAAGGAAAATTTAGAGAGAATATGGCCGCCAAAGTTGCGTTATTTCCTTAGCTTGAGAGTCCATTGTAACTGAAAATTTACATATTTTATGCCTGTAATCAACGTTTTTCAGTAAAATCAATACCGAAATGTGTTTTTTAAAGGGTGTGAAAGGTGTTGAGCCCCCCAAAAATTCATTAAAAATTCCCAAACTTTCGAAAAAAAAAGCCAGTTTCTTGACGAGCGCCTGATTTTACCACGCTGCCTCACATATGGTCCTCTCTTTTTGCGTACTTCTGTTATTGTGTAGTTACAGGCAGAGTATGGCCATTGTAGTAACACATTGTGAACTATATTAACTTGTAAGGATCTACATCAAGTCCTTTTGGGGATGAAATTCTATTTAGTTCTCATACAGAATTATTCGGCTCCTATTTTACCATACGTTATACCTTTGGATCATAGATAGCATGGACAATAAGGGTTAGTGTATCTCTTGATATTTTGTTCATTACAAATGAATTCTTAAGCTCCCTCAGACATTTTGATAACAGCAGAATTATGTATATATTTTTAGTTGCTTTTGAAAAATAAGTTTGTAGACACTTTTTAAGTTGCTTGATCTAGAATCAGTGGCTTAACTCTTCCCTGCCATTTACCATACACTGCGCCACTAGTCCATACATTGTATATGAGCGATGAAATTATTGAATTTTAAGTGGAAATAGTTAAAGACTCCAAAAGTGGGTGGTTGGCGGGTGCTCTGGTGTGGTTTGCTTCTTCTTTCCTATCAAACATCTATTGTCCTTATCTCCCCTTTTTCTTTTATATGTTTGATACTCTCTTGTAACACCTCTAATCTTCTGGCGCTCACATGAACGTATGCAGTTGCGAGGGCCGTAAAACCTCTACTTAAAGAAAAAAAGACTCCAAAGAACTGACAAAGGCATCAATTTGATTTTTTTTAAAATATTTTTTTAGGGCAACTTGCTGCTCCAGGACCACTCTCAGCGCATCCACCTGTCCAATGGGCTAGTGCTGGACACCAAAGTCCGCGGAGTCCTCTCCATGGATCTCTCCGGCCTCATCAGCATCAGCTTGTGGAACAGGAACTGCGAAGCTCTCATCCGGAACAGGTAAGATATCCAGCCGTCCAAATAAATGCCGGGGGGCTCTCGTGGCCTAGAGGTTAAGGTGTTGGCCTCTCATTCAAAGGTCCCGGGTTCGATTCCGGGTAGCGACCAAAAAATTTTCTTCTCTAAAATTGTCTCCTTTCACATCCTTTCCTGATCTCTAACAATGTTCTGTTGTCTGCTTTCATTTCCATTTTCTGCCCCCACCCCCTCACCTCCTTTGCCCCCTCCTCTGGGCTCCTGACTCTTTCTGCAGCCTTTCTACTGCTGCTCCTTGGCTCCTCCTTACTCCTGTCTTCCTTCCACACCCCTGATCTTCTGGTAGGAAAGATCTACACCTAGCCTTCTCGGACAAGGGCGAAAAATCTCGGAGGGCCCGTGGGCAAGTTGCGCACGTTAAAGATCCCTTGGTGGTCTAAAATCGATAAGAGTAGGCTTCGCCGCCACCCGGGCAAAATTCAAAATTTCCTACCAACGAAAAAGTATTAGGTGTGTCCCGCGCGCTCATATGACCTTTTGCAGTTGCGAGCACCGTAAAACCCTATACTAAACAAACAAAATAAATGCCAAGCAACATAACAGCATATTTCATGATTTTGAGAAAATTGTGCAAAAACTCCTTTATGCCTATTGGTGAGGTCAGTCACCTATGTAGCTTTCTTGTTACTGTGAGATATTTTATCCTGTGTGAATGAAGTATTACTTTTTAGTGATGATGTGACTGATGTAAAAGTGGTCAGAGCTTATGTATGGGATGTTGTTGTTGTTGTTGTTTTCAAATCCCTTTAGCTGCGAGCATTTCGCTCTTGGCTGCGCAATGCCTCCCTCAGCCTCAAGTAACCACATGTCCTTGTCATCTGGTCAGCACCAGAGTAGAGCAGGCTTTGTAAGTCTGTAGGTGTGTGTAGGAGCCTGCGTCGAAGAACTGCCAGGTATGGGCAGTGAAGGAGAAGATGTTCAACGGTCTCCTCGTGGTAGTCACAGTGTCTGCAATGGGGTTCCCACATGGGGTTAATTCTATTTATGTGCTTGTTGGTGTGTAAGTGTCCTGTGCGCGCTCTGAAGATCAAAGTCTGATCAGCTCTACATAAGAGATTCTTATGTATGGGATAGAATGCTATATAAATGCAAACTGTTATTATAATTGCAAAAACAGCTTATCTAAGCTTGGAGTAGATGTTAGCATCTGGGAAGAAATAGCTGAGGACAGGAAAACATGGAGGAAAATGATAAAGGAAAACTATAATGCTAGAGAGCACCAGGCTGAGAAGCGCCAATGACGAAAGGAAAACAGTGGAAATACAGAGCTTCGATCTACGTCACTGACATGCAAGCACTGCGACAGAATCTGCACTTCAAACATAGGAAGAATTAGCCATGAAAGAAGCTGCATGAAGACTACCTTGAGACCATCTTAAACAAAATTGACCGTCTGTATAGACAAAAAGAGCCATATTACATATTATAATTATTTTGAAAAGCACTATTTCAGGTCATCCTGCCTCAGACACAAGAAGAATATGAGTAAGACTAGTGTGACATAACAGTAAAACTGAAAAACTTGATTTTGTCAGATACAATATTCTCCCTTGGGACAACAGTACCGATGATGTTATGCTCTTACGGTGTGACTGGTTTCTTGAACGTTTTTCCAACACTCAAAATGCTTTTTTTTTAAAGATTTGTGTGGTTAGCGAAGACTTTATCTCCATATTTTATAATAAACTGCTGGCACATTAGTTATATTTGAAATATGAATTTGGAATAAATATACAATTTAAAGCATGTTTTACCTTTAAAATGAAATCTTAAGTTCATCTGAAATTATTTTTTTTAAATGTTTCATATTACCTATAGCTTGATATTTGACATAGATAATCACAGATTGGGTTACTTTTCCTAGAAGCCAAATGTTATTTTTTTGTTAAATTTGATGTGTGCGACTTTGAAGCTCCCTCTTTCAGAATTGGCCTAATTGGTCGCAGGAGAAGCCACAAATCATCTTAATCTTCATTTCTTCTATTTCTCTTTCTTTAAGAAATATTCTCCTTTGCAGATGTGTTGGAGCTGGCTCATATGACCTTATGCAGTTGCGAGTACTGTAAAACTTTGACCAAACTGAAGCTAAAACAAATGTGTCACACGCGTTGGAATCAGGCTCTCGTCCGTTTTTTGGCATATAGAGCTATGAATATCATCTTAAAGCATATTCATTTGTCTTGCATTTGGTGGGAAAAAAATATTGATCTATCTTCAATAGACATTGAGATATTTGCGATTGAAGAAGATGGGGTTGCCTGGGATGAGAGGTAAAATAAGTGATAAAATGGCCGCCAAAGTTAGGTGACGTCCATAGCCTGAGTGCCCTGGAAAACTTGAAATTTACATTTTTTGGTGCCTCTAATGAACGTTTTTTGGTAACATCCACTCTGAAATGTGTTTTAAATATGACATAAAAGGTGTTGAGCCAAAAAAAGAAAATTTTGAAAAAATTTGCCAAACTCAAAAAAAAAATGCTGTTTTCTTTGATTTCATTGTTTTGATAAGTGCCTGATTTCACCATGTTACCTCACAAATGTATTTGTGATCATCAGACTATGATGCATTAACTTTTATAAACTGTCCCTCTTATTTTGTATGTACCAGTGGTGCCCTCTACCTGGAAGGGTCCCTCAAGCTACTTTCCAAAGACCTGGAGCTTGGCCTGACATTCAGCGGAGAAGGCCAAAGCAACATTGACTTCACCTCCAACGCTGACTTCTACGAAATGCCTCTCAAGTTGTGCATGCAAATGAAACGGCCAGAGTTTCAATTCTTGTGAGTAGCATCAATATATATGAGTATCTTTTAATGTGGGTGTGTGTGTGTGTGTCTGTCTATTTGTCTGTGTGTGTGCACACGCCTTTAGAGTTACTTGTTTTGCCCCTGACAGATATGAGTTCAATTCCCATGTAAGCAGGATATTTTATTTTGTACGAATCCCTTATTTCTGCTAGGCTTTGGTTAACCAAGCCAGGCTGGGTCAGAGCAGCTCACTGTGTTAATAAATGCCTAAATTGTGCCTTTAGGTGCCTTATATATTTGTGAGGCAGCGTGGTGGAATCAGGCTCTCGTCAATTTTGGGGCATGTAGAGTTATTGGTATCATCTTAAAGATTGTTCACTTGTCTTTATTTTGATGAAAAAATATCCATTTATCTTGAAAATACAAGCCGGGATATTTGCGAATGAAGGAGGTGGGGGTCACCGTTTTCAGAGGTAAAATTAGAGAGGAAATGACCGCCAAAGATTAGTTATTTCCTTAGCTTAAGAAGAGTCCGTGGTAACTGAAAATCTACATTTCTTGTGCCTTTAAGAAACGTTTTTCAGAAAAATCCACACAGAAAGGAGTTCTTTAATGGGCATGAAAGGTCTTGAGCCAAAAAACAAACATTTGATAAAAATTCCTAAACCTGTGGAAAAAGGCAAGTTTCTTCACTTTGATTATTTTTACGAGAGCCTGATTTCACCACGATGCCTCACATTTATAGTTGCATCGAACATTTGTGGAGAGAATTAATTCCATCAACTATTTGTTCTCCACACAGACAAAAGACCCAAAAGTATGAGAAGATCCAGAAGTCAAAACGGTACCGATCCTCGACAAGGGTGAAGTGCCAGATGTCCGGAGAGTCGTACTTCCTGAACAAAGCCAACTCGGAGGAGTGCAGGGTCATGTTGAAGGATGAAGAATAGTGCCTTATGTGTCATGTTGACGGTAAGTGTTTGTGTTGTGTCATGGAATCTCAGAAGTGTACGTGGGTGGTTGGCGGGTGCTCTGGTGTGGTTTGCTTCTTCTTTCCTATCAAACATCTATTGTCCTTATCTCTCCCCCTTCTTTTTTATGTTTATTACTCTCTTGTAACACCTCTAATCTTCTGGTGCTCATATGACCTTATGCAGTTGCAAGCGCCGTAAAACCTGTACTAAAACAATCAGAAGTGTACCATGTGTTGGTGGGTGGTTAGCGGGCGCTCTGATGTGACTTGCTCCTTGTTTCTTTTTAGAACATATATCTTCCATATATTTCTCCTCCTTCTTTTCTTTGTATGTTACTCGCTGGTGACACCTATATTCTTCAGGAGTTTGTGTTGCAAGTGCCGTAAAACTCTTTCTAAAACTAAACTCATTTATTCCTTCTAAGTAATTTAGGGTCTGCTGGAGTAATAATAGTTAGGCAATGCATAGAGTGTGGAAATGCACCACAAAAATGCAATTATTATTATTATCATTACTTAGTTTATCTGTACTTACTGTATATTACCTGCCTTCTCAGTTTTCCTGAAATTCAATATATATTGCTTTTTTTTTTCTGTTTTCAGATATATTTTGGTTGTCTTCCAGCCTGGACTGTGGAGCCAACTCGTTGAGCCATAATACCAAAGCAATTTCATCGTCATAAAGCAGATTATTCCCCCCAACCCCTGTCCATATCGAATGTTTTTACAGAAATTTTCTACCATGACACTTTCACAAAAGTGCTTTATTTCTTGTGCACATAATCAAATGAGCTCAGTGTGTGCTAGAAAAGATGTGGCGAATCCTTCTTTGGTGTTTTATTGTTTTTGATTGAGAAATGAGTGATGAGCTGTATTATATGTATTGTTTTGCCATTTTTGTTCGATGGTCATCGGTATAAAATTGCGTCTGTACGTATGGTTGAATGTACTGTTTTTAAGAACACGCAGGTGGATTCTAGTCTATATTTTTGCAATAAATTTATTTATCGTATTTTTGTATTCTTAGTACGAGAATGGTTGTCTCTACTTTAAATGTCTGATGGGTTGAATGTTGGAAAGTTTCATGTTTCTTATCAAGACGCACACTTGTATTTTGTTTCCTTTCAGTCACTGATGCCATCTACTGATTTTTTTGGGAATTAAATGAAACTTCCTGCCCTATATTGCATACATGAAAAATGAAATCCATTTGTCTTGTGAACTGAGAAATGACCAAGAATTTTAGAACATGTGTTCTTTTTCCGAGCATTATACTCTCATTACTAATTTCAGGGTTATTTGTCTAGTTTGTTTCATGTCGTCCTCACAATTCATACATTCCTGTTCATATAATCAAAAAGATAAACAAAGAAGAGAATGTGTTCACTTGGTCTAGGGGTTTCTTTCTTTGTTCTTTAATTTTCAATTAACATTTTGCAGTCACACATCAAGCGGTACCAAATACCCCATCTGGTCACCCAGCCAGGAGAGTGACTGCAACAGACTCCCCGGGCCTGGGGCAGAACTGTGCCAGGTGACCAGAACGGAGAATTTTCCCCACTGCAAAGTGTTAAATGCTAGTTTTTAATTGATTTCTATAAAGGCCTAGGAATTTGATCACAAATGTCATTTCTACTTGCATTGTAAGAACAAGTGGTGAAGCTGCTGCCATTGTTGTCCTTAAACTTTGTATAATTCTTTGCATAGCCTTTTTGCTACAAGAAAACCTCTTGAAATACCTGGGTTTTTTTTGCATATGAACTTGACCGTATTATTGTTAATAAAACGAGCAAGAATTTCTTTCTTCACATTTAGAGGCAAGTCTTGAAATTCATTTTTGAAAAGGTTTGGTTGTCGAAAAGTTGTATTCGGCTCCATTCAAAGATATCTCCAGTAAATTTTAAGTTGCCTGTCCTCCCAAAGTTATTTCAAAGCTGAAAGTCAGACCAATGCAGTATGTTACTACAGTTTCATGTAAAGGGCACTTTTGCTAGATTACCATTTTCCTCAGGAAGCTAGCTCAACATGAAAATGCAAATAATTGCTTACTGCCATCATTTAAGCCAAAGGCTAAAGTGTATAGGGCTCTCTCTCTTTTTCTCCCTCCACCCCTCTGTCTGTCTCTGCCTGTCTCTCTGTCTCTCTGTCTCTCTGTCTCTCTCTCTTTCTCTCTCTCTCTCTCTCTCTCTTTCTCTCTCTCTCTCTCTCTCTCTCACTCTCTCTCTCTGCTAATGAGGTAATGATTAACATCATTTTGTCTCAAAGTGCACTTTTTCCTACGTTCGTTTTTGTTGTCTCTTCTAATTTTGAAATGAATACAATCAGACTTAATATTGACTGTTTAAAAATTTTAAATTCTTATTTTCAGGCTTATGACTATAAGATAAAAATACTTTGGTGACAAAAACGAAATAAAGAAAAAAAAAATGTTCCAACTTGTCTGTATGGTAAGGTGCAGAATAAGTCAGATGGGGGATACTGGTATTCGGCCCCTTGTCATACGGCAAAGTTGAGATGTGTCCCTTTTGCCCGATTTGTTACAATAATTTCTTACCAGTACATCGTTCAATTTATGATTTATAGGGCTCAAGATATTTTTCCAATCAGTGTCACAACTTTCATTTAATGAGAAATAATGCTGTTGCTCTTAGCTCAGAGTGTAAGATGTACCTTATAAAATATTGTATGTAACTTTTTATCTAGAAAAAATGACTTTGACAAAAGTCACCCTGAGACTTATATCCATGAGATACAAAATTCTGTCGAAAAAAAGAATCCCAGTAGGGTCGGGCCAAGGGAACAAACTCACAAATTGTGTGACCCGCAAGATGGAGATGGTGCTGTTTAGATGGATGATGATGAGATCAGAGACACATTGGTAATAGTGACAATGAGGAGTTTTTATACATGCATATGTACTAGATCTATATAATTCTTTTACTTTGGTTTTCTCGAAATTAAGCAGGCAACTTTTCCCGGAAAATGCTGGCGCATCTTATGAACATATTATCTTTTTTACCAAAATTTTGGCTGTCAAGTCTACACATGTGTCCTATACACGATGATATATGGTGCTAAAAGTAAAAGTATAATTATTTCTGTCCTTTGATTTTGGGCCAGCGTCCTAACCCTTTCGTGACCTTCATGATGTACACTGTTTGTTAATTTTTCTTACAAAGCGAAGTAAGCAATTTGAAGCTATAACATACAGGCAACCGACCACTAAATCTAGCACTACTCTGTGTCACCGGGGACCCAAAACTGTGCCGGGTGAAGCACGAATTGACCTTGTGTCATGAAGGGATTAAAACGGAAACAAGATAAGTTGAATTAATGTTGGTCCTCCTACCCTGAGACAAACAGAGCTGATGTTTCTGCAAGTGAAGTTGCTCACATTTTTAGTGCCATGTCAATGATACTTAATTAATACACCACGATAGTCCCAGTTACTGTGGCGTCGGTGGCTTAGTGGATAGGCTACTGGGCTCGTAATCGTAAGGTTGTGGGTACGGGGGTTTCGCGCCACGGGCCCGACGTTGTGTCCTTGGGAAAGGCACTTTACACAAATTTTCCCCTCTTCACCCAGGTGAAAATGGGTACCCAGCTATAGACAGTAAAAGATCTTGTCAGTTTGTTAGTGTTTGAGCGCTTAACCAGCTGCTTACACTGTATGCTTCCCAGGAAGCTGAGAATGTTTCTGAGTATTCTATGGTCTGCTGGGGTAATAATATATTGTAAGGCGCATAGAGCTTGCTTTCGAGTGGGGCGGGGACATGTGCTATACCAATGCTATTTTATTATTTATTATACTGTTGCCTTGTACATGGTGGCATAGAAGCTCCATAACAGCCAAACTTGCAACGTTCAATTTGATTTTTAAACTTGTTTTCAAGTCAAGGAGAAGGGAGTTCACTTGAAGCTTACTTTACTTTACTTTACTTTTTTCTTCCGCTTGTACCCTGGGGCGTCGCGGGGAGACACTTGAAGCACTTATTTCAAATAATGATTATGGAAATTTTTTTCTCTTTTACTGAATATATCATTATATGGGATTTTTTTTTTTTTATTTCTTTCCGTTAAAATAAAACAATTATGATGGAGAATAAATACTTGTAACCTTGTGCAAGTTTGGGTCACAATGTCTGACTTGTTGCTGTTTTTCAAATGTTTTTATTCTTTATTTTTGGGGGGGTTTTTTTCAATTTTATGTTTTGTAATTATAGGACACACAATAAGACAAGTTACTTCATGAATTTTTTTAAAGTGAAAAAATACAGAATTTGAAAATCAGTAAAATCTCCATTTTGAAAAAAATACAGACGAACGTTGGAACAATGCTGTTGCAGCACATTGTCAATTTTTCAAAACAAAGACTGCAAATGTAGAAATCTGACTTTGAATTTTACTTAATTGTTATTTTGATAGAGCAGATAGATCTATAGAACTTTTGATTTCTAACCTCATGGCCTTAGTAACTCAAAATGACCAAAAATATCAGATAGAACTCGGTGATTTTGAGGTAGCTACTTGTTGGTTTGGAGCAGGTATATATAATTTGATACCCATCACGTGGTGGTGTTGTCAAAATGTTACATTGTGACTCTTTTTTTATTGTGTTGTTAGCCATTTATAGAGAGCTTTCGATGGGTGGTTGGCGGGCGCTCTGGTGTGGTTTGCTTCTTCTTTCCTATGAAACATCTATCGTCCGTATCTCCCCTTCTTCTTTTTTATGTTTGTTACTCTCTTGTAACACCTCTAATCTTCTGGCGTTCATATGACCATATGTAGTTGCGAGTGCCGTAAAACCTCTACTAAAACTAAAAAGAGAGCTTTCATGACAAATGGTGCTTTGTCATAGTCGTAACAATTTAAATGACGCTTTTGACGAGAAACCTATTTTATTGACTATAATCATATTCAGGGAACATCCCTTTCTAAAGCTGATATAATTTTATGCAAGGATGACTTTAATGAATAAAATACTGTAATGGAAATTCTGGACACTTTGAGGGTTATAATATATTATTTAGTGTATTTGTTTTTGTGATCAAATAAATGTTTATTCATAAAATATTATGCACCCTTTTATCGGTGTGTGTGTTTTTATTTTTCTTCACTCTTCTGGTTTTTTTATGTCATAAGTTTAAGGGGACTCCTGTACATATCCTAATGAAATTAAATGACTGGGTAAAGTCTATACCCCCCATTCCCCCCCTCCCCCTCAACCATTTCTTGTCTTTGCTCACATTAAGGATGATCACAGACATCTGTTTGTGGGTGGTTGCTGGGTGCTTTGGTGTGGTTTGCTCCTTCTTTCCTGTCAACATCTATCGTCCTGATATCTCCTCCTTTTTTTTGTAACTTTTTTTGTGTTACTCTTTTTGTGTTTTTACACTCTTGTAACACCTCAAATCTTCAGCACTTATATGACCTTTTTGTGTTGCAAGTGCTGTAAAACTCTTACTAAAACTATTTTAAAAATGACATCTGTTTCCAGTTCCTGTTAGACACTGCCCACTCCTGACTCTTTCTGCAGCCTTTTCTTCTGCTACTCCTTGGCTCCTTCTTATTGCTGTTTTTCTCATCCACTCCCCTGATCATATGGTAGGTAAGATTTAACACCTAACCTTCTCGGATGAGGGTGAAAAATCTTGGAGGTCCCGTGTGCAACTTGCACACGTTAAAGATCCCTTGGTGGTCCTGAATCGATAAGAGTAGGCTTCTGCTGCCACCTGGGTAAAAAAAAATGTATTTCTATCAAACTAAAAATGTTTCATGTGCCCCACATGCTCATAATATGACCTTATGCAGTTGCGAGTGCTATAAAATACTTACCAAAACAAGACTTTGTGCCATCTCCACTGTGACCTCGGATGTCTGTACTAGGTCAAATCAGTTCTGAATGGGGAGTCCCAAGTTTACTTTTACCATGGGTGGTTGGCAGGTGTTCTGGTGTGGTTTACTTCTTTTTTCCTATCAAACATCTATCGTCCTTATCTCTCCTCCTTTTTTTTATGTTTGTTACTCTCTTGTAACACCTCTAATCTTCGGCACTTATATGACCTTATTGTGTTGCAAGTGCTGTAAAACTCTTACTAAAACTAAAACTTACTTTTATCACAGACAGTATACTGACACAGTCCAGCTGGCCCTACTACTGTGCTACAAATAGCTATAAGTGGGACAAACACAAGTTCTAATAAACATTGAATATATGAACGCGTACATTAATCGCTGCTCGGGGCAAGATGGACAAATGCCAAATTGCAAAATGAGGTTTGTTGAGAATCTTGCATCCAGCTGTCAGTATAATAAATATTGTTGCAATTACGAGAATTAATTATGAGTTACTCCAAAGATTTATTATTCTTCATTAAGAGCACGGTCAAAAAATAATTTCATGTGTCAAGGTTAAAAATAAATTATAGTCGAAATTGTTTAAAATGGCCACCTATTCTAAGGGACAAAATAAAGTGATTGTCTTAGACAGGAGGATGTCTTACACAGTTTCATTATAATATTAAAAATATGCAAATTGTACAGGTGATTGTCTTATATTACATAGGTGGCTGTCAGAGCAGATTCGACTGTATATGTTTATAATTATTAATATGTGTGCCTATGCTTTGTCAGTCCCCAATCATGCAGACCAATACAGCAATGATCTATAATATAGAATTGATTAGTATTTCGGCAAAAAAGATTTGTCTCGGAAGAAGTCTTGACAACATATAAAATGATAAAGAATCAAATTCGATTTTTTAAAAGTTAAGTTTATTAGCACAGCATTCTAGTCAAAAGTGACTTGCACAATGTGAGTACAGAACAAAGCAGAAGATCTAACTAAGGAAATCGCTAACACAAACAGGTAGTCAAATTGTCGTACTTAGATATAATAAGTCCGTGCCTCATCTGGCAACTGGTTCAAAATGGAAATGTAGACTGGAGTGAAGCATAAATGAAACAAAACATAACATAACTCATGTTGTAAGGGTGTTTATTTTCTTCGCTCTGTATGACAGACTAACCGGAATGCCAGAAATTGCTTTGCATAATAGGTGTTTATGCTGATTATTCCAGGGGTGGAATTAAAAATTTTCTGCCCATCTCCGATTGGACTATGATACAAGTGTCATAATCATCATACTCGCCTTTCTCACCCTGGGTCAGGGTATAGGCCAAGAACAAACACTTTCCACCTTTCCCTTTCCCGGGCTAAGATCTTGATGTTATTCCGTGTCGTCCCACTTTTCTGTACATTGATTTCTGTGACTCTTCTCCAGGTTCCAGAGCTATGTGTGTGGAGTGGAGATCAAGCTTTTAAATTCTCTCCACACCGCCTAGGTTCAAGAACGCCCCATTAGGGAGGTTCAAACAGGTGTCATGTGGTTCATGCTGTAGTCCAGCATATAATCTGGAATGCAGGCTGGCAAAAAGTGTTATATTTATGTAGGTATGTTTGTTTGTTAAGTATTGTCTGGGCCTCTCATGCATAGAACTATAGCCTATACTGTCATACATGATACAGAGAGAGACAGAGGAGAGGAAGAGAGAGACAGAGGAGAGAATGAGAGGAGAGGGGAGGGGGGGGAGAGAGAGAGAGACAGACAGAGAGAGAAAGACAGAGGAGAGAAAGACAGAGGAGAGAAAGACAGAGGGAGAGAAAGAGAGAGGGAGAGAAAGAGTTAAAGACAGTCGACAAAATGAAAGAGAGAGAGTAAAGATGGAGGGAATAAGGAGAGAGCCAGAAATGGAAACATTAAGTCATTACATTCATAGACAATGTTTATGTCAAGTTTGTGGGGAAAATATTGCTGCATTTTGTTTGGGGTGAAATGTGGGAGGCAGAATAAAAAAGGCTCTACCTGGAATCAAAAACAACAACTTTGGATCAATAGAGAGACATAAATTTGCCGAACCAAAATAGGAAAAGCAACATATATATGGGTCAGTGCAGGGATGCAAATGTTTAGCTTTATCCGAAAAAACTTGGATCAACCTTAGTATTATCAGAAAAAAACAAACCACAAATATTGTTGCTTTTTGGATCAAGGAGTGAGTTGTTTTAAATTCTGAAAAGAAATGAGAACACTCTTAGAAAATTTAGAAATTTCTAATACAGACATTCTCTTTTGTCTGTAATAATGTTCAAAGCCCGAACTGAAAAAAATCACACAAAAAAATGTTTTCCTACAGCACAGAAGAAAAAACCTCACAAAAATGGTGTGGGTATTAAAAATAATTTCTGATCATCATGAAAGCATCAAGAATTAAGGAAGTTTGGGCTATGTTTTGATGCTGTCCTGACGGTGTGCAGGCATACCACAGGTATTTTGAGGACACTTGGAATAGTACGCTTGTCGGCTGGGTATTACGAAAGAATACTTCTTTGCTTTGCTGGTATATGTTTAACATCCTTTTGATAAACTTTGTAACATCATCAAAGAGAAGGGGCTTCCGAATTTTCCATCCATCTCTGATGGCGATGCTGGGGGGGAACCTTGAAAATTTCCTAAACAACCCAAATTCATGAATGCCCCCATTCCGGATTTTAGCTATCCCACACCTGTGCTGTTCCAAAAAAGTGTTGTGCTAATGCGCGTACACAGGAACTTTGTCGGGGTTTGGCCTCTGTGTAGTAAGGTATAATTTGGTATAATGTGTGTTACAACCTTATAATAAACACTCTACGGTTTGAAAAGAGGAGGGGCTCACAATTTTACATCCATTTTCAAAGAGATGTTTTTCTTCAAAAGTTCTTTGGTTTTGGGATGTTTGTCCTGTGTTTGAGCAGTGGACAGTGCACACATACTGGCTTCAAAATGCTCCACCTTGGGTGGAATGACATGTTTGATACCTAGTAGAGGGCTCAACGAATACAAAGAGACTTGCTTGAGAAGTGAATGACATGCATGTGTAATGTAAAAAGAAAAGAAAGCCTGAAAACTTAATTTTCTTCTTTAAAGCTAAACCCCCCCCCCCCCCCAAAAAAAAAAAAAAACAAACTTTTACCTTTGACCCAGTTGGAACCCCCACTCCAAGTTTGTACCATGTAGACTGTGCATAAAAGGAACGTTGAACATCGTTTATCAGTTTAGTATATCCAAGAACGTTCACATCACAATTTGACTATTCATTTAAATATCAAATAATATAAGGAAAAACAATATTTTACTCTCAATTTTGCCAAACATACAAACAAGGCCTGTTTCTTTCAGTTGAGAAAAAATACAGCAAACTCTTTAAACTAATATACATATAATATCTACTACTGTTGTGAAACTGAGTTTCAGGATCTAGTTCCATCCTCTGTTTAATGCCTTTTTGTTTTGGCATGGCATGCAGTGTGATATAGATTTATTACATTTCTTGAATATAATTATTTACTGAGATTGTATTATCATCTCTTAAGGCACAAATACGTTAAAGCAGTGACTAGAAGGATTCATATATATCATCGCCTGGTGTAAGCAAATGGATTTTCTTTCCTTTAAAAAAAAATAAATTCTTTAAAATCTCAAATGCGACCAAGCATATATATATACAAAATCCACAGAAGCTATCCATGGTAGCTCATGTGTCCGTGTTTACCATTATCAAAGGAAATCTATTCTGTGAGTAAAAGCAGTAAGTGTAAAAAATTTTCCATGTGTGAAAAACTCAGTTCTAGAAAGAAGCTTTAACAGTAGAACATTTAATTGTCCATGGTTCTGAAGGTCGGAATTAAGGTAGGCTACCAGAGTAGGTTTTATTTCTTTTATAAAAACTTCAATTTAATACACTCCTCATACTCTCCTCTTTCAGCATCTGCTTTTCCTCGGAGGAAAGAAAGGACATCAAAAGGTAACAGAATCTTTATACAAAGGAGGAAGAGCAAAAGAACAATTGTATATAAATATTATGTCCTTTTCAAAAATATATATATTATTAGATTTCATTGATGGAAAAAATTAAGACACATTGGTGTGAGGTTATGCGCGCTGTACAAAAATTGTTATAATGAACAGCTAAAAATTGGGCACAGTTTCTGAGCATCATTGCTTTCTATTTATATGTACTTGAAACATAATTTTCTTTGGAAAGAATAAAAATAATCTGGAGCCTAAAATACAAAAAGACCATAAATTTACTCACATATGACATGATGGCACATTATACGTGTCATTTTTTAAGGGTAAAATGAAAAAAAATTAAATTAATATAGTAATTTTGTGTAAGAACGTTCAAAATAACAAAATTTCTCTTCGACATCGCTCTCGGGTGTGGTGATAGAGTCTTTAAAGGCACAATATGAAGCAACGTGATAAATTCGTAAAATATATTGCAGTACTGCCAGAGGCAAGCTGTCCAGTTAAAAGTTAACAATTGCTAATCTTGTGCAACAGAAAAAAAGGTGTTATGAAAATACAACAAAGGTAATCATTTTACATCATCAACCAAATTTATACATGATAAAAAGAAAATGCATCGCTGTTTCTGCTCCAAATATATACAATAAGGTCCAATTGGAAGTAAACAAATATGCATCACGCATAGTAATTCAATAGATCTAAACATAACAGGGTAGAGGAATTCTTTGTGTCTTTCTTTGAGTTATAGTTCGTCCAAAATTTACACATCAGGTTTAAAATCTGAAATTGGTCATTGTAAAAGTCGAATGTATCTCAGTATCAGTTCAAAAAAAAAAAGAAGGTGTACAGGAATGCCTGATCTTCGCTCTGAAAACAAAAAGACTTGGCAAAAAGGTAAAAGTCAGACGCCTATCTCCTTTTCATACCACATATATCGTATAAAAGAAAGTAGGGTAGATATATCTTTTTTTTTACAACAATGAAGATTTCTGAAAATTCATAGCACGTTCATTTGTAGGCTTACTCTACTTTTTTAGTTCAGGCTATAATTAATGCACTCATGTTTGACTATCACAATGATCAAACTTTAAGTCAAAAAGCACTGGAAATTCATGTATTGGAATATCTAGAAATCGTGCAGCTTTGTTTCAGAATTCTAGAATGATAAGTCTGACTAGGGCCTACCTGTGGGTGAAGTGTGAACTACCATGACTGCTTTCAAGTTCAATCACCACAAAAATCATGTTTAAAAAGAAGTAGCTTTGTATAATCTCTCCTCCGATTTTGCTTTCAAATTCTTCAACATTTGTATACTTGCAAATAAAACAGGGATTCATAAATTCTGTTTGTTGTAGGATTTAAAAATACTAGAAAACAGCTCAAGAATCAACTTAAACATTGTTTTGCTAACGAAAAACTAACAGCGAGATTAGAGTCCAGTTCAGTGTTACGCGTTATACCCAGTGCCCATTGGCATGATCAATTCCATTCGGTTCAGTTTGGTAGGTGGGGCTGGCCAGACTGAGGGTGCAAAATGACCATTGTGGCACAAACCGATCACCCTAATCACGGCCTAAAAAACAAACTCATTTCTTTTCAAGGCTGCGAGAAAGGCGATCTTTTGGCAATCAGTTTGAATTTGAGAACCTATCCCAAAGTGGGCACTGGGTATTACATGTTCTCTCTCTTCACACCCCCAAAGTGGGTCATGCATGGCCAGATATGTGCTCAGCACACAAACAATTCAAGAACATTGTATGACAAATCCGTACAGGAGAATATTGTTTCTCTTTGTGGACAAGGAAGTTCCGTGACTAATTCACAGATAACTACACACGGGCAACAAATAGAATGTCAAGCATTCTAAATACAAGTACCTCAAATTCGGGAACATAAAATATGGCAAATAGACACTCTCATAGAAACGAATGGGTTCAACACAACGGGGCAACAAACCTGAATACATGGAATATATTATTGTCTAGATCAAACAACATTATGGTCCAATACATTTCTTCTTCATAGCAAAATAACAAAAGCGCATGGAGTACTGCATGCAAGCAAAAGCCACTACAATGAGCCTGCACTCTCACTTTAGATCTTACAATGATTTTGCGTTCATTCTAATACTCAAAAAGTCACCTTTAAGTCTCGGAGTTACGAAATTAATCATGTAAGGAAGACTGAAAAGAAAGTTAACCCTTTGAAAAACATATGATGTACCGAAAGATTTAATTTTGATGTCACTGTGGCTATCAAAACTTTTTTCAACTTTTTGATTTCAAAAACAAGTTCTCACCACTGGAACTAGTCTTTAACATGCATAGTTAATTTGTGCGTTGCAATGATTGCAATTCCAGTGCACTTTGTATTTTTGCATTTTATCTGGTCTTCAATTTTCAAATGCACAGGAGGACAGTCATAAGCACGAAGACTATAAAAGGTACCTACCCTCTTTGCAGGATAAAAAATACACTTGTTTCACAGTGACTGAATACAACATAGATGCATTTGCATAACCTGTTTTGCAGTGTTTGCTGTATTAGACTTTGTGTGACCTTTTAAAAAAAGTTTTCTCATTCAGCCATATATATTTGCTGTATTCAATTTTGCATGACTGAAACAACATGTTATCTCTGCCTTATAAACCGAAATGAGTACAAACATTTTGTCATAAGGTCCAACAAAACGAAAATTAAGTAGACTCAATTAGCAACATAGCCTTCGACGCTGTATAAAGACACAGAATAACAATGAAATAAAAGCAAACTCTCTCAACAATGGGTTCTTTTTTTCTGCATTGTGCAAGAGTGAAAAAGTAGGCTCACTTAGCAAAGCAAGGTGTGTATAAAACATAACAATACATTGTAATATGACGGGAGCAGCTTGCGGTAAGACTCTCAGTTCATTCTGCGGCAGTAGTAGCCCAACATCTTACACTTCTCACACAGATGCTGGGGGTGGACTTTGCTCTGGTCAGACACATCCAGCCCATCTGGCTTCTCCAGGGGTCTCTGTAAGATAATAATATGTGAGACATCGGGGTGGAATCAGGCTCTCGTCAAAATAATCAAAGTGAAGAAACTTACATTTTTCCGCAGGTTTGTGAATTTTTATCAAATTTTTGTTTTTTGGCTCAAAACCTTTCATGCCCATTAAAGAACTCATTTCTGTGTGGATTTTTCTTAAAAACGTTGATTTAAGGCACAAAAAATTTTAATCTGTAGTTTCCAAGGACTCTTAAGCTGTGGAAGTCACCAAACTTTGGCGGCCAATTTATCGCTGATTTTACCTCTGAAACCAGGTGACCCTACCTCCTTCAATCGCAAATAGATAGGCCTATATATATATATATATATATATATATATATATATATATATATATATATATATATATATATATAAATATATATATATGTATATATATATATATAAATATATATATATTAGCTTGATTTCTATTCAAGATAAAAGGATAATTTTTTCATCGAAAGCAAGGCAAACGAACAACCTTTAAGAAGATATCAATAACTCCATATGCCCAAATATTGACGAGTGCCTGATTCCACTGTGTCGTGACACATTATGATAATGATTTTTTAACATCATATGCCTAACGTGCTGCAACATCGTTTATCAAAGGGTGACAATAATTATAACATTGATTATAAAGCACACACATAGTGAAATCAGCAACATGCTGAAATCTTTTTGCTCTGAACTTGCTTTGAATCCAAAGAAATAAATATACATGTATTTTTAAAACAAAACAAAAAGGTGGGACCTGGTGTCAGTAAACCAGTAAAGCTGAAAGTGGCCCAGTAAATTAATGTTTTCTATTCCAGCCCTTAAATTTAACATATCCATGGAGTGCCAAGCCCTACATAGGAGAAATGGCAATTTTAACCTTCTGAAAACTTTCTATCTGAATGAAATTGTAACACATTTGGAATAATAACTGACAAAAAAATGTTCTCTTAGCTGAAAGATTTAAAAGCCACACAATTTGTTAAAATAAATCCAAGTTAATTTTTGACAATCACCAAAGAAGGCTATGAACCCGTAATTAGACGATTATTGAAAATGGCACTGAAAGGATTTTTATAAATGAGTCAAAAGTTGTATACAGAGCCTCAGGTTCTTTGTATTGAGGCTTTACTGCTTTTCTAATACTTTTAATTTTGGGTCGTTTTCTCAACATGCTTTTATTTTTGGTAAATGCTTTACGGCGCTCGCAACTGCATAAGGTCATATGAGCGTGTGGGACACATTAAACATTTTCAGTTTGATAAGAATTTTAAATTATGCCCTTGTGGCGGCAGAAGCCTACTTTATAAATCCATTTTAGAACCACCAAGGGATCTTTGTGTGCAACTTGCACACGGGACATCCGAGATTTTTCACCCTTATCCGAGAAGGCTAGGTGTTAAAACTTTCCTACCATAAGATCAGGGGTGTGGCTGAAAGACAGCAGTAAGAGCCAAGGAGTAGCTGTAGAAAGACTACAGAAAGAGCCCGGAGAACAGAGGATGGGACAAAGTGGAGGGAGGGAGGGGAGGGCCCAAAGTGGAGATGAACACAGATGACACAACATGATTAGAGAGCAGGAAAGGAGGTTAAAGTAGAACATTTTAGAAAAGAAAATTGTCCATCGCTGTGAGGTTTCGAACCCGGGACCTATTGAATGAGAGGCAAACACCGTAAACTCTAGACCACGATAGCCCCCTTTTTCAGTACTCAATATATCATTAAGAACCAATTGTGAGGCGTACTGACAAAATGAGTTACTTCTCGCTATCAACAAACGGAGATATTGGCCAAAAATCAACACTAGGGTTAAACTTGTAGATTTCCAATAATTGATGCCATATTCATTAAGTATCACATGCCTTTTATTAGGTCTGTTTCATACTGATAAATTGTAAAAATTTCATCCTATAAGCGTGAAGTATCTATTTTCTTTGGGCTCGAATCAGAAAAGAAGTAACTCAATTTGTTATAAGCACGCCACATAAAATAAAAGATGAACAATGATCTTCCAGCCTAGGCCTACCTGTTTGTGCGGGTAGACGAGGATGTGACACTTGATGCACTCCTGGCCCATGTTGGCCCAGCTGTTGCCGCTCATCCACTTGCGCTTACACTTTGGGCACTTGTACTCACCAAAGCAACGCTTCTTGCCCTGATAGGGGGTCAGTCCTTCACCTTTGGGGCGGGCCTGGAACAGGGCAGTGGGAGGTTAGTTTGGAGGGGGGGGGAAGAGTGTGTGTGTGGGGGAAATCAATAGAAATCGATATCAAAATGGACCGTTCATTTTTGGTGTTGTTTGTGAGTCATTTGAATATGTTTGTACACAAGAGAGACCGAACC